CCCTTCTCAACAATTCGTTACGCCTTAAGAAATGAAATGACCCTGCGGGGAGTATACTCTAAGGTACCTCTCTACTCTAATCTCGGCAAGCCTAGCATAGCCAGCGTCACGGTCTTAGCGTGACAATCAAGAATAGCATAATGAGGCGACAACTAGTCCATGCCCAAGATAATATCATAATCTACCATATTGAGTAATAACAAATCGACTCGGGTCTCAAAACCACTGAGAGTAATCAAACACGACCGATATACGCAGTCCACAATGAGAGAATCTCCCACCGGAGTAGATACATAAACATGGGAACTCAAAGAATCCCGAGATATCCCCAAATGTGGAGAAAAATAAGAAGACACGTATGAATACGTAGAGCCTAGGTCAAATAATACTGATGCATCCCTATGACAGACAGGGACGATACTTGTGATGACTGAATCTGAAGAGACGACCTCTGAACGGGCTGGAAGGGCATAGTACCTGGCCTGGCCTCCCCCTCTAGGGCGACCTCGACCTCCCCGACCTCCACCTCGAGTTGGCTGAGGAGGTGGGGTGGCACCTGGTGCTGGAAGAATGGCCGGAGGACCTGGTGAAGCACGTGAAGGCTGATAAGTCTGTGGAGGTGCACCCCTCCTGGCTCTGGGGCAATCTCTAACCATGTGACGAGTGTCACCACACTCAAAACAACCTCTCGGAGGACGCGGCGGCTGAGACTGACTCAGACCTGGCCTGCTAGATTGGCCGGTGATAGCACCTCGAGTAGGAGGCATACTGGATACTGGCGGTGCATAATAGGGCTCCTGAGGTCTAGGAAGAGCTGGAACACCGCTGGCTGCTGGAAGAGTTGAATGAATAGAGCGACTCACAAAACCCCTACCATAGCGTGCTGCTGGTGCACGAGCTCCTGAATAATGATCAGTCTCTCGAGACCTTTTGGCCTCTCTCTCCTCTCTATCCCGGGCAAACATGCCCTCCACTCTCCTGGCAATGCTCACTGCCTGCTGATAAGTGATATCCATCTCCAACTCCCTAGCCATGTTGGTCCGAATACCTGGTGGAGTCCCTCAATGAAGCGACGAACCCTCTCTCTGACTGTAGCAACCAGAGCCGGTGAATGGCGAGCTAACTCATTGAAACGGACTGCATATTCCGACACAGTCATGGTACCCTGACGCAGCTACTCAAACTCTGCGCGCGGCATCCCTGAGGCTCTGAGGAACATACTCACGCAAGAACATCTTTGAAAACTGAGTCCAAGTGAGTGAGGCTGCCTCGTTCGGACTACTCAGCTCATAGGTACGCCACCACTGATATGCCGCTCCCCTCAGCTGGAAAGCGGTGAAAGAAACCCCACTCGTCTCCACAATGCCTATAGTGCGAAGAATACGATGACACTCCTCAAGAAAACCCAGAGCATCATCTGAAGCTAGTCCGCTGAAAGTAGGTGGGTGGTACTTCTTGTACCTCTCAAGTCTGAGCTGCTCTGCCTCAGAAGCAGCTACACTGGACTCATGCTGAACCGGAGCCACTGGGGGCATAGGAATATACTCTGGGGCCTGATCAACCTGGACCCTCTGCTCAGAAGTGCGGGCTATGGAAGTTTGTGCCCCTCCCCCGGCCTGAGATGTGGCGGGAGCTATCAGAAATAGTCCAGCCTGAGCCAGAGTGCTGAACATGCTCAAGAACTGAGCTAAAGTCTCCTAGAGGGCTGGAGTAGCAATAGGGATCTCCGGTGCTGGCCCTCCAGCTAGAGCTGCTGGGGGCTCCTCTGACGCAGCTCTCGCAGGTGCTCGGGCTGCACCGCGTGGTCATCGTCTACCCCGACCCCGGCCTCTGACGGCTCTGGCAGGGGGCTCGGGTGCCTGATCGTCGGTCCTCTCGGTACGGGTCCTCATCATCTATGAGAAAAAATATAATAGAATCTTAGAATTTTTTTTTGATGTCAATAACTCGCACGACAAGGAAATCAAAGAAGTATGATTGTTATTAACAGTTACATAGCCTCCCGAAGATAAGTACGGATGTCTCTGCACTGATCTGCAAGACTCTAATAAATCGGCTTATGACTCGTGACTCCTATGAACCTAGCGCTCTGATACCAACTTGTCACGGCCCAAATTAACCCTCTGTAAGGTGTCGTGATGGCACCTAGTCTTTACGACTAGGTAAGCCTAATATTACAAAAAATGTAAAGAAAACACAATATCTTAAAGATAAACAACATATTGTGAATAGCCAAAAGTAGTACCACTCGGCATATATAAAATAATTTTCCAAAACCCGAAATATCACTAAGTCATAAGCTGCTATAATCTATGTAGCTCTATACAAAAGTCTGAAGATAATAAAGAAAGTCTCTAGGCGAGGGAGTAGAAGGGGACTCCGAAGATCTGCGGACGGAAGCAGAAGTACCTTGAAGTCTCCTAGAATCAACAACACGCACTAACCCCAAGGCTGATAGCTCGTACCTGGATCTGCACACAAAAATATGTGCAAGAAAGGGCAGGAGTATACCACAATGGTACCTAGTAAGTGCCAAGCCTAACCTCAGTCGAGTAGTGATGAGGTCAGGTCAAGGCCCTACTGGAGTAAATATAATAAATTAAACAGTAAAAGATATAAGTAAAATTTACGGTAACACAGTTAAAGAAATTCTCAAAAATTTAACAGTTAAGGGAGCCCTCGGCTCAGAATAAAGTAAACAAAATGGGGAATCTCCCGGGATACCGTCCCGTGGTTCCGAATGAATATGCAGTACATGGGGATCTCCCAGAATACGTCCGTAATCCTAAAGTAAATATGCAGTGCTGGAGGATCTCTCGAAATACGTCCGTAGTCCCAAAGTAAATATGCAGTACCGGGAGATCTTCCGGAATACGTCCGTAGTCCCAATTTAAATATACAATGCAAGATAAAATGACAGGTATGGCCTCGAATTATACAACTTACACTAATCACAGATAAGGAAAATAGGGATTTAACTAAGCATGGCGCACAGAATGTCAAATAGGCAGTTAAAATAAGTAAGCATGCCCTTCTAGTCTAAACTAAACAATTAAACATATAGGCACAGCCTTGTTCAGTAATAAGGGAACATCCTCTGGAGCTCCAGTTTAGCTGAATGCTAAAGGAAACCTTGGGCAAAATCATACCTTCTTGGGAAATGAGGTGACAACTCTGTTCAGTAGCAAAGGGAATGCAGGTCTTGGATATGGTCATTCTGGAGATGGTAATCACTCAGCTTCTAGCTACAGACCCAGAAAAACAATCTACACTGTGATTATTGCAACTTTAAAGGTCACACTAGGGAAAATTGTTACAAACTGAATGGATATCCACCATATTTTAAGTCAAAGAAGAACTGTGGATTTGGTAATACAGTTAACTATGCTCAGACCAATGTTGGTAATTATATAACTGATACTCCCACTAGCCCTACACAAGCAGGATCTGCTGATCACTTTGAAGGAGTCTCACAGGTGCAACAAGCGAGTCATAACTTCCAAGCTGGATGTAACGACTCGGCCGGTCGTTTTGAGAATTAGAGCCCCGATCCCCGATCCCCTAATAACTATTTTTCCCACATTTTTTTTCGCTATTGGGACTTGCCGGAGTGATTGGTTATGGAGTTCAGAGAGTTTTGGGACACTTAGTCCCTAGTTGTGAGTTTAAGCCTTAGAATTTGGACCTTAGTCGGAACTGTATGAAGACAGATCCGGAATGGAATTCCATCGACTCCGTTAGCTCCGTTGAGTGATTTTGGGGTTAAGAGCGTGTCTAGAATATATTTTGGAGGCCTGTAGTAGATTTAGGCTTGAATTGGCGAAAGTTAGTTTTTCGACGATTTCGGCCGATAGTGAAAATTTTGATATCGAGCTCGGAATGGAATTCCGAAAGTGGTTGTAAGTTCGTAATGTCATTTGTGACCTGTGTGTAAAATTTGAGATCATTCGGACTAGATTTGATATGGTTCGGCGTCGTTTGTAGAATTTAGAAAATTTTAAATTCTTAGGCTTGAATCCGTGCTTAATTCATGATTTTGGTATTGTTTGATGTAGTTTGAAAGCTCGACTAAGTTTGTATGGTGTTTTAGGATTGGTTGGTATATTTGGTTGAGGTCTCGGGGGCCTCGGGTGTGTTTCAAATGCTTAACGGAATGAATTTGGACTTGGGAAAAATCTGGTATTTTTGCTGGTTCTACTGTAATCGCACCTGCGCAAGGCTGCCCGCAGGTGCGAGAAATTTGGCGCAAAAGCGGAGTTGGGTGGATTGGTCAGGGGTCGCAGGTACGTGGGAAAAGGCCGCATCTGCGATGCCCGCAAATGCGCAAGACTGTTCGCAAGTGCGCAAGTTACGCAGAAGCGGAAGGGATTTCCGTAGGCGCGCACGCGCAGGTGCAGCCCTTTCGTCGCAGGTGCGAAGGGAGAGGGGCAAGTGAATTGTGCAGATGCGCACCTTTTCCGCACAAGCGCACCCGCAGGTGCGAGCCCAGGTTCCGCAGGTACGGAAATACCTGGGCAGTGGTTTAAACCAAAGGGCTCCGCGATATTTGTCATTTTTGACTTTGTAAACTCCAACAAAATTCAACAATGGTATTTTTTAATTTTCTCCTTCCAAACAATCCACATTATTAAGGATACTATCCGCTGAATTCCAACAAAAAATAAGTAATGAATCTTAAATTTTCTAGAACGCGTTTTTTTTTTTAAATTTAATTGTATGCTCATCATTGAAAGAAGAAGATTCTAACAGAAGGCTAAAAAGCACTAAGATTTTGTTAATGGAATCAGAATTAAAATGGATGTCCTAGTGGTATCCTCCCAACATAAAAACTTGAAGACTCGTACTAATATCTACTTTGTTATAATGTATTCACTCATTTGTAAAATATAAAAAGTAGTCGTTACTATATTTAGTTTCAATCTTTTACAAGTCTACATCTATTGCCAAAGTAGAAAAACAAGAAAAGAAAGATGGATGAAACTGTAAATACATTACAAGTGTAAAGTGAAAGGCCGAAACGATAAAAATAGAAAAAAGTTCAAAAAAATGAGTCTTGTTTAGTTATCTAATACAACTCTATCATAGCATTTAATTAATTATCTCAAAATCCCTTTACTGCCTTGGAAAACTACATCTCCAAGAATTCAGGCCTAGTAGTGAATTTAAAAGGAAGAGTGAATCTAGGAATATGTACATAAATTTAAAAGCATTACAAGGCGAAAATGGTCCATCTCCAATGAACTTGTGACGAGATGGTCACTCTAATGAGATAGCAAGCTCCTGAAAGGTCCTTCCTCGGTGCTCAAAATTTCTGAACTCGTCAAAGCTAGCACAACCAGGACTTAGTACAATGGCATCCCCTACAACCAAAATATATAGTTGAGTACTACTACTTGCAAACTTGAATTCACAGTATCTACTTAACTCAACCCTCAAAATATATGGTCTTCAATGCAATGACAAGGTAGATAGATAATAACAACCTAAACAGGAGATTTTGCAAAGTAAGAGACAAACCACGTTGTGCTATACTCCTTGCTAAGCTCACAGCATTCTTAAGAGTTTTAGCATTCAAACATGGAATTGTAAGGCCATTAGCACAGAGTGTCTTCTGAATCATCACTCCTGAAAATCCAAACTGTAGAACAACGGATACCAGTGTCAATTTTTTCAAAAGCAAAAGTTAATAAAGCATCCGCTGATTTCATCCCGAAGCTACAACAACAGTCACATACAGTGATTACAGCCCGATGGTGTTGAAGAGGTTCTACCAGCTGCTCAAATCCATTAGAAGCCTTTGTCTTTACCTCCTAAAGAGAAAATGCAAAAGAAAAAAGAAAATTTTACATTTTACGAAAAATTTTGGGCATAGTGTGCACGGGCGAGAGAAGTCATGAATTTTTTTTTATTTATTAAAAAAAGATTATTGTGCATCACTTTGAGTACATACAGGATTTTTATCTGATTTTTGTTATTTTGATTTCCTATGCTTATTTCATATGTTTTGCATGGAGCATAACGTTCTTAAAGCATTCCAGATGACTAGGAGGTGATTTTACATGAGAAATAAAAATTACTCTACACTTATAATGTTGCAGGGATGTTACTGACTGGTCACAAGACGAATAAATTTTCTTTTGTCTTGGTTCTAGCATGACCACTGCTGAAGCCCTTAATTTTGTCGTCTCTACTGCACTTACCCTTTAGTTTTTACTTCAGAATCCAAATGTTTTATGACTACATTTTCCAATTTTAGAACTATCAAGCACCATCTCTTCTAATCTGCTCTCAAATCAACTAAGAGCATGCTTTAATCATGCTACAAGCTCTTGATTGCCCCGAACCAACTCAATTCTGTGAAGATTGAGATAGGGACAAAAACACAATAAGTTGGATTAACATTAATGAACCAGTAAGAATTTTAACCTTTGCAAGACCACCAAGTAGAAGCACCGATTTCTGTTCAAAGCCAATCAATCCAGAATATGTTGCTTCAACATTTGTTGCCTTGCTGTCGTCAACCCAAGTTATTTCATCATTGTCTACATGAACTGAAAAAAAATTACTATTAAATTTCTTACCATTGAGCATCCACCGGCAGTATTAGATAGTATTACGTAAAAGAGCTTAATCCAGAAAATATTTTTTAGCAGAAACGATATACATTTTCCTGCATGATAATGCATGTTTTATCTTAATATTGTGTCTATGCCGTTTACATTCCTTAGTTATATTCTAGAAGATATATCTGTTTGAAAAAGAAATGAGTTTCAACCTGTCAAAATCACATGCTCCATGAATTTGTACTTGCATTAGACATTCCAGTTGGACATGGATATTTGCATAATAAACTTGTGCAAGGATTTAGTTAATCATCTAGAAGTAAATTTGCAGCTAGGATTATTTGAGCAAGAATTTCAGACATAAAGACTAAATAAAATGCAAATCAACAAAGAATTGCAGTACAAGATTCCCAGCCATTTACGAAGTCTCTTCTATTTCCCTTTAAAGGGTAATACTGTAGGCCCTTTGATACTCCTTTTGATATCGTATAGAGTTTCATTCCAAATGGGTAGCAGACACAAAAATACTCAAGCATTGCACTGGTATAAATCAATACCCAACCCAAGAGAAGGAAAAGTCGATTGTGTTCTTTTTATCATGTTCCTTCAGCAAATGAATGCTTACATATACTTACTTTTCTGCTTTCATATTGTAAAATGTTAACAGTTTGTCTCTGAAAAAGATGAATGTCGAAGGATACAAACATAGTAATTAACCACAACGAATAGCATAAAGGATGTGGCTTCAACTCACCAACTTGCATTCGATGAGGCAGAGTTCTCAATTTGGAAATAGTTGAGCTTAAAGCTGTAGCGTTGATCTCAATATCCAACCCGATAACCGATAGTGCAGCCACTGCAGCATTAGTGTAATTGTGATTCCCAACTGCCTTCAGCTCACCTAATTTTAGTTGTGAAACACATCCTACTGTAGGAAGCTTTAAGTCAGCAATATTGGCCTCCACATCAACCTTCCAGTTACAGGTAAAAATTTAAGATACTTTGTCACCAAAGACCACCAACTAAATTCTAAGAGGATATGACAAGTGAAAATGTTCGTCTCAATTTCAGCCAGGATGATGGCACAAGAAACACCTATATTTCCTTTGTTATTTATGATTGCTTTAAGCTGCTACCTCATCCATATTCGGTATAGGAAATATTGCTTTTCTGAAGGACCTTAAGATTCATGGCTAAATCTACCAGCCCATTCTCTTTACACAAGTGACAATGCGTGACTCAATTCTTTGATTTCTTGATCTTTAGGTATTAAGAAATAAAGTATCTTACCCTGACACCAGGGCGAGATCCAATCCAAGCAAGATTAACGCCATTTGCGTGATCCATAATTGCTTCATCAAGATACTGGTTTCCTAAATAGATGTGAGGTTGTTAGGCATGCGTGGATATGAGATGGACACCAGTGAACTAATAATAATCTTTGATTCAGAAAAAAATTGAGGCTCGACATCACAGGCATCACACTATTGACCCCAATAGGTCATTTTGCTCTTTTTACCAGCTATTGTCATTCGTCTTTTAAAACAGTGATATCATCATTTCCAATACTTGCATATTTGGTTCCTTATTCAAAGCAAACATAAATTGTAATGGTCATTTGAGACAAGCAAGCCAACATATGGGTAAAACTAGTTTTAGTGTGCCCCATGTGTTTCCTCTAATCACTTACCAAGAGCAATGATACCAATTTTCTGTCCTCTCATGTGCGAAAAAATGCGGCACTTGGTTGCAGCATAGTTCCTCATAGTTTGGTGCCTTTCGAGATGATCAGGAGTAAGATTAAGAATCACAGCAACCTAGACATGTTTTTAGAATTAGAATAACACGAACAGGTTGTTAGATGCGCTAGTTATCAAAAAACGGACAACCTACTTACTGAAGGACAGAAGTATTTGGGTGGGATTTCTAACTGATAACTACTGACCTCCACAACAGCAACCTGAAAATAAGAATATGAACAAAATTTATCAAGTATGAAAATCTCATATGCATAAATTAGGGGCTTGAACAAGTACAGGAAGGTCATACTTGCCTGTAAAGGTCTTTGGTGAGACCAAGTTAAGCACTGAAAAGCAGCTTCTGAAAGTGGAACTCCAAGGTTCCCGCCAACGAATGTCTCGAAACCCAAACAGTTAAGCATCTACCTTCAGAATAGCACAGAGAATGATGTTTAGTAAAAGCAACCTAAACTCAACATGTATGATAAACTCAACATGTATGATCTCTGTAAATTGACAAGAAAAGTTAATGCTCCATATGATACTGAAACTCTTATCCAACTATCAATAACATGCCTCAAAACTAAACGAATTGCTCTACCTCTGGTTTCTTGTGCTTTCATGTAAACCTATGATATGCAACAACTTACAAGACACTTGAAAAATTTACAGAAATCCAGATTTTGACAAATATATACTAGATTAGTAACATATTTGCAAAGATAACAAAGAAAAGGTTGACTAAAGGGTGTGTTTGGCATGACACAAGTCATTTTCCAGAAAAAGCATTTTCTGCTGTCTGGTTGCCAAAAAATATTTTCTTCCACCAAAAGGGGGAAAAAATGACTTCCCTCACTTTTGGGCAAAAGTTATTGTCCATCATAAACTATCTCCACTCTTTAACTTCATGTCACTGCTCCAACCACTAATTAGACATTACTATTAATCTTTAGTACTCAAAAATATCATAAAAACACTCTCTGATTTTTTAATATTATTATTAATCTTTAATATACATTTTCTTTGGAAAATACTTTTCACTTACTAACCAAACACCGAAATTCAAGAAAATATATTCCATGGAAAACATTTTCCAGGTTAATACTTTCTATGGACAATGAATTCTGTCATACCAAACACACAATAAAGAGACGAAAAAAAGCACAGAATATGAGCAATTAAAGGAATAACCTGTCCTGCAAATGTGGCAACAGTAGATTTTCCATTAGTTCCTGTCACAGCTAAGATCTTACTGCAACTGGGAATAACTTGGGCAGCAAAATCCAACTCCGAGAGTACTTTCTTCCCCTAAATATGAAAGAGAATTAAAAAATTGAGTAGTGGAAAAGGCCGCAAGAATCAGCCTATGATCCTGCAATATTTTCACGATTCCACTTTTTTTTTTCTTTCTCTGTGTACATAACAAAACTTGTATATCAAATTGGTCATATCACCCTCCAAAATCAGACTAATTATGCTTACCGAACATAACATGGAGAAAAGTCCATATTTTTCAAGCGGAACTCCAGGAGAAACAACTACTATATCTGCCTCTTTCAGAAACTCATTATCAAAATTACCAAACACCGTCTTCAAATCATCATTATACTCATCCAAGCAAACATTTTGCTGCATAAAAGCAAGGACATCTTTTTACTAACACTAAAATCAACAAAATGGATCACTGATTATTATCCTGAAAACATGTACTACTCCCCTCTGTCCCGTTTTATGTGGCACACTTTTCCTTTTTAGTCTGTCCCCAAGAAATAACATCTTTCTATAATGGCGAAATACATAAACGGCTCCTTTAAGTTGTCCCCGACGATCAGTTGGACACCTTAATTGAGCTTATTTTCCAGTAGACACTTCATTCATTCACAAAAGAAGATCAACTAAACACCTGACCCTGTTAGCCCAAATCGCGTGAAATGCACTCTCCGAGACGCGAGTTGCCTACCTAAAATTAGGTTTATCTTTTTCTTTTCCTAAAAACAATGTGGACCCACCCTAAATCACCTTCTTCTTCAAATCTTTTCCACCCACCTCCAACTTAAACCACCATTATTACACACCAATGAAAAATACACAGAAACCTCACTTTAAACTACCATTTCATATATTACCAATTAAAATAATTACAAATCGAGTAGGGCCTTCGACTCCACCGTTAGATCTCGACTGGGGAAAATTTCCCAATCTTTTTCACCCACTTCCTTTCTCCCTTTAATCGAAGCAAAAGTGGAAGGACATGTAATTTCTGTTACTGGTGAGTAACAGAGAGGAGAAGGAGCGTGCTTAAGAATTTCACAATTTTCTCATCTGCTTGAATTTCAAACTAAAAAATCATAGAAAATCCTCTATGTAAAAGACCACAAAATATTGAAGATGGAGGAAATATTCATTTCCGCACTCGCATATGGATGGCTCTTTCTTCCGCCATTGTTGCGCTTCAAAGCACGACGAAAGAATTTGAGATGATAAAAGGAAATATTGGTCGGTGACTAGGGAGGATACACGGTGGAGCTTGTGCGACATTTAAGGTTCTTGGCTGAAGCGAAGGAATTTCATTAGTGTTTGGATTGGAGTGCTTGGTGGAGAAACGTTGATGTAGCGGCGTAGTAGCAGTGTTTTACGGTGGCAGGAGAGAGTGACTCAAGGTGGTTTCATGGTGGTTTTGCGATAGCCTCGTTGGCGGACATCCAGCCGGCGATTTAATTTTTATTTTTTAATAAGAGTGTATTTGTTTTTAAAATTCCAGGTGTCATTTAATGATTGGTCTGCTTGACACGTCATCCGCGATTGTAACTCACACATGAGGTTTATTGGACCGAGTGTTTAAAAGACACACTTTTGTGAAAGAATGAAGTGTCTAGCTGAAAATGGACTCAGTTAAGGTGTCCAACTGATCGTCGTGGACAACTTAAAGGGGTCGTTTATGTATTTCGCCTTCTATAATTAGAAACAGTTTAACTTTAAAGGTTTTACCCTTACGGGTTGTTTGGTACGATGGATAAGCAAAAATAATTCAAGAATTAAAATTTAGTACCGCCATAGGGTGAAATAGTAATCCCATGATAAGTTATCTCAGCAGTAAAATTGGCAATACCAGGATTAATACAACATACCAAACAGTCAATAAGAAATAATACGAGTATAACTAATCCAACATAACTAATTTCGGTATAACTAATCCCGACATAACTTGTATTCAAACCAAACGACCCCTTAATGTGATGATTTATAGTCACACAAATGGTTATGACTTTTTTTTAGACGACAAGTTTCAAAAGTATTTCTTCCTTTCTTAAACTCCGTGCTTAGTCAAATACTGTCACATAAGGAGAGTATTAACCATAAATTGTACCTTAAAGATTGGTCTCAAGTTCTCATTTTGATCAATTGCCAAAACTGAAGCACCCCTAGCAAGAGCAAGCTTAGTAGCAGCTATCCCTGATTTCCCAAGACCAACTATCTGTAAACAAACCAACAGTAGAAACCCTTTTCAACATTAATCTAATTATAAAGATTTTAACCAAAAAAAAAATGGAAGGAAAGAAACTAGCAAAATTCAAAGAAATGGCCTTATTTCTAAATACTTACAGCAACTGTTTGGCCTTTAAGGTCTTGTTTAGGAAAGCAAGATTGAATTTTTGTATGTGAGATAGCATTCTTGGCGAGTTTGAAGCTCATTCTTTGGTGCTCAGTGCTCAATATTGAAGCTTTTTGTTGCCATTATTTTGAACTCTTGAGTGGGATTTTAACGGTTTGATACTTCTATGGGTCGGGTCGATAATTTGGGCACAACCAACTCGTTAATTAATGTGTTGGCTAGTGAAGTATCAATTCTTGAAAACAAACATGAAAATAGAGTCACCTATGCTCAATGAATTGTGCGTTTTCCTTTTACTAATTAGGTTATTTCACTTATGCATATAAACTTGACTGGATCTTGGTTTCTTTTTTTAGTTTTCTCTTTTGGACTTTCAGATAATAACAACTAAACTAGTTTAATTACTACAAGTTCACCACTTAACTAATTCAAATTAATTATACTAATCTCATCGTACGCGCGTTACACGTGTACCTGTGTCGATGAGTAAAAAATTTTAAGAAATCACATAAATATTATAAAAATTTGTATTTTGAGTTACATAATAAAATTTCAAGAAAATAATATAAATTTATAATAATGATTACTATTTATCCTATTTAACTAACTTACTTACGAAAGAAAAATTGTTCCATGGAGTCCTTATAGCCTTAAGTCAAATTATTTACTCATTTATTAATTGAAGGAATATTTTATTTATTCCAAGAGAACCACTTGCAATTTGAATTGGAAGTTTATACTAATCATCCAGCTTTATATTGTTATAATTTAAGTGAGTTTTGTATTTAAATTTTTTATTAGTATTAGTGAACTTCAAGCTGTAAACAATTTTTCGTACAAGTTTGAACTTTGAAATTTGTCCTTTTAATTTTATAACTACATCTAATAGCAGTAAACTATGTCTCCTCATAAATATGAAACATATGATAGATATTTATGAAAATTGAAATCAAAATGTACAATTTTAAATTTTGCAAATAATTTTCCATTTTTTTGTAAGTATGGATCCGGCAAAAGAATTATTGAACATATTATTATAATATATAGAAAACATGTGATAAAAACCGTAATAATATAAATAGAAATAATATGAATGACAAATAAAATTGTGAAAAGAGCATGCTTTTAAATAACTCTCTCTCTCTCTCATATCTATATTAAGTATGAGTAATGAGTTTAGAATTTAAATGTTTATCTCACATAATGTATTTAATTAAATTTAATACGTTGTTTCTTGTGGGCCCAACTTCTTTTTCTCTGCTTATATAAATGATTCCTTTGTACATAAATGACTTATGAATTTGTCTTTAATTAAATTTACATACTGGATTTATAAGTTGTTCCTTGTGGCCCAACGTCATTTTCTATGCTTAAATAAATGATTCTATAACAACCCGGTCGATCGTTTTGAGTATTACAACTCCGCTTCCTTCTTTACTGCTCGAATTGTACTTTACAGTTGTTGTGTGAATTGCCGGGGTAATTGGTTCGGGTCCAGTGAGGTTTTTGAAGGAATTGGAATACTTAGTTCCAAGGTTTAAAGCTTAAGTTAAAATAGTGACCGGATGCAGACTTATGTGTAAACAGCCTCGCATTCGAATTTTGATGATTCCAATAGCTCCGTATGGTGATTTTGGACTTAGGAGCGTGTCCGAAAAATTATTTGGAGGTCCGTAGTGGAATTTGGCTTGAATTGCCGCAAGTTGAATTTTGGGAAGTTTGACCGGGGATTGACTTTTTGATATCGAGGTCAGAATCCGATTCTGAAAATTGAAATAGGTCTGTACTGTGAAATGTGACTTGTGCGCAAAATTTGAAGTCATTCTGGATTGATTTGATGTGTTTCGGCACAAGATGTAGAATTTGAAAGTTCAAAATTTGTTGATTTTGAATTGAGGAATAATTCGTCGTTTCGATGTTGTTAGGTGTGATTTGAGGCCTCGAGTAGGTCCGTGTTATGTTATGGGCCTTGTTGATATAATTGATTGAGGTCCCGGGGGCCTCGGGCGAGTTTCGGACGGTTAACAGATCAAATTTGGACTTAAGGAAATGCTGGAACTGCTGTCTACTGGTGTGATCGCACCTGCGAAGATTTTGATGGCAGGTGCGAAGCCACATGTGCGTGAAATAAGCCGCAGAAGCGGCAAAGAGTGGGACTGGGCAGTGCTCACAGGTGCGAGAAATTTTTCGCATCTGCGAGGCCGCATGTGCGAAGGTGTTGGCACAGATGCGGACTGGGGCTGGCGTGAGGCGACCGCAGGTGCGAAGGGGAATGCGCATCTGCGAGCCCGATGCGAGAAAAGAGTCGCAGATGCGAGGTTTTGGAAGGCTGGCTGTTTCCGCAGGTGCACATTTTTGTCCGCAAATACGGATGTGCAGGTGCGAGCCCAGGCACCGCAAGTGCAGAAATGCCTGGGCAGTGTTTAAAACGAGGGTTCCGAGATTTTTTTCTCATTTTCGGATTTTGGAGCTCGGGTTGGGCGATTTTGGAGAGGAAATTTTTCACACAACTTGGGGTAAGTGTTCTTAACTCCCTTGTGATTATATTCCATAAATTAATCTTCATTTTTGGTGTAAGATTATTGAATCTTCAAGAGAAATAGAAGGAAATTTTTATAATGTCAGAAAATGATTTTTTCAAGTTTGAATACTGACCGGGAGTCGTATTTGAGTGAAATTAGTATGGTTGAACTTGTAATTGGATGTGTTGTCGTATTTTGTGAGTTTCATCATATTTCGAGACGTGAGTCCCACAGGTAGTTTTTGGGATGTAATTTCGAATTTTATGGAAAATATTAATATTTTGATATGGAATTAATTTCTATAAATTGTGTGGACTGAATCAAATTAATTATGGTAGATTCGAGCCATTCGGGAGTTGATACGCACATAATGAGATTTCTGGAGCATTGTTTAGCTTGCTCGACATTGGATTCGGCTTGTTCGAGGTAAGTAACTTTTCTAATCTTGGAGTTGAGGGTATGAACCCTAAATATATGTATTTCGTAAATTGTTGGGAGGTGACGCACATGCTAGGTGACGGGCGTGTGGGCGTGCACTATAAAAATTATGATATAATTGTTTCTGTGAAATTTTGTAGTTAAATGATTTTGGCATTTTCCATGTGATTTTATGAGTTAAGGAAATCGAGTTGAAAAGCATATTAAAAATCATGTTGAGGCTATGTGCAAGTATTATTGGGACCCACAGAGGTCATATTATTATGAAATATTTTATTTTAAATTGAAAATTCAAACTCAGTCATATTCATTTCATTGCATATCATATCTCAGTCTCTGTTGTTATTTATTGATACATCATATCATCATTTTGGGCTATTCTCATGACATTGTGAGCCCATAAAAGAGAGACTGGAGAGATTGATGACTGAGGGAGGCCGAGGGCCTAATTGTGCGAATATATATATATATATATATATATATATTATACTATTGCATGTGAGTTGGCCGTGCACGTGAGTTGGCTGTGCAGATATATATATATATTATACTATTGCACATGAGTTGGCTGTGCAGATCCAGATATTATTATAGCACATGAGTTGGCCGTGCGGATCCAGATATTATTATAGCACATGAGTTGGCCGTGCGGATCCAGATATTATTATAGCACGTGAGTTGTTCGTGCGGGTCCAGATATGATATTATAGTATGTGAGTTGTCCGTGCAGCACGTGAGTTGTCCGTACTTATAGCGCTTGGGCTGTAAGAGTCCCTCATGAGTCTGAACACCCCCAGTGAGCGCAGTCGACTATAAACAGGGGTCGGGCTGCACGCCGTAACAGGTATTGTATAGCGCTGAGTGATTGAGTGTACTGAGCATAGTGAGAGAGATTGCGAGACAATGAGATTGAGTACTCTGAGAGAGTGTGAGTACATGGGTGCAATCTCTGAGATACATTGCATTGATATGCACACATGACATATATGCATAGAGATGTGTTTTCCTCATGCTGTACGATATCACATTATTCATGATTTCTCACACATGTTGACAGATGGGCATAGTGATGCATTGTTTTACACTGGTTATCTGGGAAAGAAAATGAGATATTTTATTTATTATTGAAAGGACTTTGGAAAAATTAATGTTCTCAAATTATTCATATTTTTGGCAACTTCGGCAAAAGATTTGAATTTTTACTGATGTACTTGAAAGGAAGAACTATTATTGCTGAAATCATGATGTGACTGAGCACCTTATCTCTCAGTTACTTATGGTAATATTTGCTTTATGTCATTATTAATTGTTGTGGATTAATGGTTTTGGACCCGACCTTGGTAGAAGCTCGTCACTACTTTTAACTTAAGGCTAGGTTTGTTACTTACTCAGTACATGGGGTCGGTTGTACTAATACTATACTTCTGCACATTGCGTGCAGATGATGACTGATGTTATTGATGTGCTCGATGGTTGCGGGATTTGAAGATGTACCTGTGTTTCTGTTGTAGCTACCTCTTGTTCAGGGTAGCCTTAGATTTATAAAAGCTCTGTTTATATATTATTCAAACAGACTATGTATTTATTTCATTTCCGCTTTATATACTCTATTCTTAGAAGCTCATGATTTGTACTACCAGTTCTTGGGGGATGCATAAGATTTAGACTTTTATTCACTTAAATTGCTTTAATAATGGTTATTGGAATTGGATAATTGAAAATTGGCTTGCCTAGCGGGTTGGGTTAGGTGCCATCACGACTAGTTGAATTTTGGATCGTGATAGATTCTTTTGTACATAAATGATTTATGAATTTGTCTTTGATTTTTTTAATTTTGCAGAAAGCTTGACGTGGAAATGTTGATTCACTGAGGGGTTAGTGATGATATTACGTGCTTGTTATTTAATTATAACATATTTATAGATTTTGTAGGGGTTTAAATCTCTAATATTAGGAGCTAGTATCCAATCCAAATAAGGAAAGATTTAATGACCACAATTTTTTAATTAATGCTAAATCCCTAAATATTAGGAATAGATAAAATTTTAAAAGTCCTAAATATTAAAAAAATAATTAAATGATAAGTTTGTCCAATGAAAAATCTATTTTGAAAGGGTAAAAAAGGCGAACGATATTTCGCTAAGGGTCTTTGTGCTTTTAATATAGTAATAGATTAATGAACTAAGCCCGTTATAGTTGATTAGGGTTGTTTAAAACCAAAATGTAACCGAACCGCAAATTTAACTTATTAGCTTACTAGTATCGAGTTATCGGATTAACAGTTGTTATCGATTCG